CTTTCCTGCTCCTCTGATGCTGCCTGGCCTGCTGCGTTCCTCCAGCTCCACGCTGTGTTACCTCTGTATAATTAACAGCAAGTGTCGCCAGCTTTACCATTATTCGGACAGCAGATTCTAGCCCAATCGCTGTATAGTTGGGGTGAAAAATTACCACGGATATGCAGGAACGTAGAATTGAGGTTAAAATCAGATCAAACAAGATCCTGTTTGAATAGATGAGCAGGCTCAATGGACCAAGTGGCCTAATCTTGTTCCTTGTTCACATAATCACTTAGAAATGAAGGTATCAAGTCTTACACAGGAATGTATATAGAAAGTGCAAAATTATGCATTCTCTCTTGATCTCAGGAAAGTAGGATCTCAGTGATTCTGCTGCAAGGTTGACCTGTTGTTAACAGTGCTTTTTTAATTTTCACAGCTCGTGCAAAAGCTGACAGAAGTAGCTGAGGAATGCCAAGCCAACCAGTTGAAGAAACTGAAGGAGCTCTGTGAAAAGTAAGCCCCTGACGTACAACGTTCATGACTTTTCAGTTGGCAAATCTCCAGCTGAGATTTTGCGAAGGCGAGTCAATTTTTCTTCTGCCATTCTTTCCAGGGAGAAGAAGGAACTGAAGAAGAAAATGGACAAAAAGCGTCAGGAGAAGATCACTGAGGCGAAGTCGAAAGACAAGAATCAGATGGAAGAGTGAGTCTTCTTCAGTCTGTGCGCAAGACACGTTGTTTTATTATTCAGTGCAGCTTAGTTGCTGAACGCTGGCAAATTCTCTGTGTTTTTGTTTTGAAACGTAAATGATGCTTTAAAGACATGAAGCCAGCGAGAGCAGAGAGTCACTTTCGAGTCCCCATTCACCCCCACCCCTCCTCTCCCTACCCTGGAGTTGGCTTTCAACGTGGCAAGCAATGCAGTCTTCTGTTCTTCAAATGGGAGAACAGCCCATGGGAATCAACAGATTAAGTTGTCACCACCCCCATTCAGAAACCATCTACTGCTATTTTCAAACGAGTTAGCCCCACCCAATCTAATTTATTCAGACAGCCTGGCTGAAGATTTCTGAATGTTCTCCATTATCCACCACTGAAGTATTGATGAGGGGCAGCATTCCACAAATTGGCTCGAATACATCCAGCTCCTGGTAAATCCTAGATGATTAAATTGAACGTAAAAGCGACCTCTTCTTTAAAAGAAATTATTAGCCACACCAAGGTCCTTCTGTGGCAAAGGGAGTCAGAAATCCCAAGACACGATAAGAAGGAGTCTTTTCAATGAAATGTTTCATCAAGAAGGAATTTTTAAGTTCATATTTGATCTTCCTCAAAGCATACGATAAGATAGAAATTACTTCCCTATTTGGCAGTGGACAAAGACTTGGCTTTTAACACGAGAGTTAAACTACTCCTTTTGAAAAATTCAGTCACATTTACATGCCCATGAATCACAATACACTATAGAGGACGTTGCTTCACTCTAATTGTCCTCAGCAGCAAGTGACTCCTACACTTCGATTAAGATCCCCAGTCAGTGACCTTGGCATTTAAGAGAGACATGAACAGTTTTATCTCTTTATTCACGACAGACAAATGGAGTGTATTTTCCAAAGCGTAGGCAATAGCAATAGATCCTCAATTGCTGGTTGTCAGCTCAGAGGGTTATCTCATTTTGTAGCAGTGTCCATCAAAAGAGCTGGAAGGCTGACTGTGAACTTTTTGAAAATTGTTTCTGATCATTTGTCGGCCTGTTATTCCAAATGATAGTGTTTGATGGAGCACGATTTCAGAAAAAGCAGTGGCACTCCAGAGGCTCTCTCTATTGTTCCTTTTAAAAGGGACCTGCACGAGTGGCTCAAGGGGAAAAATACGGCGAGGCAGTTGGGAAAGGGTCAGGGCAATGGGACTGTCTTCATAGTGTCATGGTTATTGTCATTTAAGTAGGCCATTCAGCCCTTCAGGCCTTTTTCCACCATTCATTGAAATCATGGCTGATCTCTGACCTAATTCACATACCTGCCATATCTGAGATATGTGGAGTCCACACAACCATTGTATGATCAAGTCTTCAATCACTGTTAACAACTGTCTTCCCATTGACGAGATACCACAGTCATTTGATCTTGAAAGTACACAGGAAGCCATCCAGCCCTCTTCTCATGTGCCAGCTCTTTGAAAGAACTATAGCGTACTTTGTCTTTAACAGACTTCACCTTTAAGGACTCCATATGCTGATTATATACAATGTTGTGACTCTGCCTGACAATCTCTGCTATGGGTCTGCAAGCTGCACTCACAGAAATCAGTTGGTTTTTTTTAATATCTGATTAATAACTTTTAAAGTGTTTCACTGTTTTAAATAAACTAACCCATGGAATTAATTAATCCCTGACAATCGAGTGATTGTTAGACCATGATCACTGAAATGACAGTATCTGAATAGTGTCACTTCCTTGTCCTTTTCCAACAGCACCTGCATTTTTTTTTCACTTTAGCAACTCATCCAGTTCCCTTTTAAATTATATCTTGAGCCTGTTCCCCCTTTTTTCAAGCATCACATTCCAAAGTTGCAATTTTCTGCAAATTGCTCAAGGTATTGTATATATATGGGGCTAATTCGGTCAGCTATGACCTCACTTGGAAAAATGCTACAAGAACCATTTCTGTTGGTGTCCCAGAGCTCTGTGACTCTGAGGTCACAATAGATAAATTCAAAAATCTGACCTTGCCGAAACTGAATCTGAAAGGAACCTCTTCAGAATAAAAAATATATACACATATAATGGTGGTGCGGCTTCCAACAGAACTCCATCATTGCAAGTGTGATAATAGACCGAGGTTCCACATTCATAGACACAGCAGGATGAGAGTGATAGAAGCAGTTTGTTTAGCTCTTTCTTTCTGACGGAGATTATGGAGTCTCTAAACAGCTCACTGCGAACTCTGAGTGTATGTCTCGATACTTAAACTATTGGCAAATAACAACTGCCCGAATCTGCTGTTGATTTCCTGGGATCCAACTGTGCCAGGTGTGAATGTGAAGGTTTTATTTACTGCAAATGCTGCATTCTATTGTCCAAGGATTTAGTTCCAATCGTTATTCGAGCTGAACACAAGAAGCTGTGCTGCTTTGAATGTGAACATCTGATGCACTTTGTGACATTTGTTTCTATATTTTGGGGTGGGGTAATATCAGTGCCTGCCCCACACCCACACCTCTTTCATTCTTTCTGTCTCTGTAATAACGTGGATGTAAAATTGGTTGTTTTATCTCTGAAGTATATTCGCTGCTCCCTAATCCTGCACAGCAGTTAGCAATGTTGGCACAAACACATGGGATGTGGATGAGCTGTCTTAATGTATTAAAAACCGAAAGAACTGCGGATGCTGGAAATCAGGAACAAAAACAGAAGCTGCTGGAAAAGCTCAGCAGATCTGGCAGCACCTGTGGAGAGAAATCAGAGTTAACGTTTCGGTTTCAGTGACCCTTCCTCAGAACTGTCTTAATGTATTATTAGTTGACTTGTAAAGCTGTTGCCGACCACGATTTGGAATGTTACGTAGGCTTCGTTCATTTACCTTGGGTGTCACAGCTACAGATGTTGGTCTGGATTTTCCTATCAGGGTAGTGGTGAACATTAGGTGCCTGAACCAGGACTGCAACATGGTACCTTTTCCATGCTTAGGGACTGGATCCCTCAGGCACCACAGAGAATTGACATTGTCCCCAAAGTTTCATGCTTGATGCCTTGATCATGCCCAGAGATTTACTTCCTTGGAACAGCGTAGCAAGATTAGGTCCTTTGACCCTTCAAGTCTGCTTCCTCATTCAACATGATCATAGCTCAATGAACATAGAATCGTATCATAGAAGCCCTACAGTGTGGAAACAGCCATTCAGCCCATTGAGTTCACACCGACCCTCCGAAGAGCATCCCACCCAGACCCATCCCCCTTCCCTTGTAACCCTGCATTTCCCATGGCTAACCCACCTAGCCTGCACATCCCTGGACACTATAGGGCAATTTAGCATGGCCAATCCACCTGAACCTGCACATCCTTTGGATGGTGGGAGGAAATTAGAAGAAATCCACACAGACACAGGAAGAATGTGCAAATTCCACCCAGACAGTCACCCGAGCCTGGAACCGAACCCGGGTCTGTGGACCTGGGAGGCAGCAGTGCTAACCACTGAGTCAGCATGCCGCCATATCCTTGCTTTCTTTACATGTCCCTTGATGCTGTTAAAATCTGAAAAAAAAATTTCTTTCTTGAAAACACTCAGTAATTTGGCCTCCATAGCCTTCTCTGGTAGAGAATTCCACAGGTTCTCAATCCTTTGAGTGAAAAAATATTTCCTCATTTCAGTCCTAAATGTACCCTTAGACTCCCCAACCAGGGAAAACATCCGACATGCATCCAGTCTTTACAGCCCTGTTAGAATTTTATGAATTTCAATCAGATCCCCTCTCATCCTTCTCATCTCTAGTAAATACAGACCCAGTTATAGAATCGTAGAGTTGTACAGCACGGAAACAGACCCTTTGGTCCAACTTGTCCATGCTGACCAGATATCCTAGATAAATCTAATCCCATTTGCCAGCACTTGACCGATATCCCTCTAAACCCTTCCTATTCATGTACCCATCCAGATGTCTTTAACATATTGTAACTGTACCAGCCTCCACCACTTCCTCTGGCAGTTCATTCCATACACACACCATCCTCTGTGTGAAAGGTTGCCCCTTAGGCCCCTTTTAAATCTTTCCCCTCTCACCTTACACCTATGCCCTCTAGTTTTGGACTCCCCTACCCTGGGGAAAAGACCTTGGCTATTCATCCTATCCATGCCCCTCATGATTTTATAAACCTCTATAAGGTCACCCCTTAGCCTCCAACACTCCAGGGAAAATAGCCCCAGCCTATTCACCCTCTCCCTATAGCTCAAACCCTCCAATCCAAGCAACCTCCTTGTAAATAGTTTCTGCGACAATTCAAGATCTTTTCTACAGCAGGGAGATCAATCCGTCTTCATAGGACAGTCCTCCCATTCCTGGTGTCATCCTAGTGAACATCTACTTCAGTCTCCCTTTGGAAAGTCTATCTCTTCCTAGGTAGGGAGACCATAACTCCCTGTAGTACTCCAGATGTGGTCTCACCAAGAACCCATATAACTGCAGTAAGACATCCCTACTTCCGAACTCTTGCAGTGAAGGCCAAAACACCATAAAGAAAGTTTACTTTCCTGACCTTTTGTGCACAGGAAGTTAGATCTACGATAGTGGAGGACACATAAGCTTTAGACTGATTGAACAATATAGTCATAGTTGTGAATTGTATCTTGAGCATGGCTAAGCTAACAGAGACATTCTTTGTCGCCTGGTGTTCAATCCACATGACTGATTCAGAACATTAAGGATTATTCTTTTCAAAGAAGTGTCACTTGAATTTCTACTGACACTGTTATGCTGGAGATTAATAGGATCAGACCAAAAAAAAGAGTAGTGCATTAAATTCAACACCTGAACACATTTACTATCTGATTGCAGGGAGAAGACTGAAATCATCCGAACTTACATTCACGAAGTCGTGCAGTCAATTAAAAGGGTAAGTAGCAAATATTTCTAATCTACTTTCCTCAAGCTGAGGCTTTGTAAGTGCTTTATCTTTTCTGATGCCCTTTTGAAGGTGAGAGAACCTGATGAAGAGAATGTTTTTCTAATTTTGGCTCAACACTATCAGGGCTCCCACATTGAGGTTTAAGGTAAATCTGTCCGTATATAACGTCAACAAAACCTCCTCATCCCAATACTGAAAGAACACCTTATTTATGTTTTATATCCATTGCCCATTACACACATGTTTGGTGTCTGTGCAGTTGGCAACAGTGAGTCATAGAAAATTGTGTCCAGCCATAGGATAGGTTCTTGTCTGAATTTAGACCTGTGGGGAAGCATCATACCACCCATGAGTAACATCAAGAGCTTTCACTTTCCCCTCCCCTGGCTGACCATCCATAATAAGGCCAGAATTGTTGTCAGTCAGATCAACTATTCCCAAGGATGAAAGGTTATGAGGAATATGCAGAAATATAGAGCTGACATTAAAATCTAATCAGCAACGATCCTATTCAATGGCGGCACAGGCTTGAAGAGCAGATGGAACTATTGCTATGTTCATAATACCCATGCCATTACAGATTGCTCACATTGGCTTCACCCAGTGAGCAGCCTTTCCTGTGTTCTCAAGCCGTGGTTGAATGTGACAGTCTGAATGTCCAGCCTTGGCCCTCCATGTAGCACTTACACACCACAAGGTGTGATGCAGTTCCATATTGAAGGACAAACTCACTCTGTTTCCCTGCGCCTCTGATTCTCTCCCACGACCCTCTTTGTATATTCAAGCTTCAGCATGAGTTTACACGTTTTCTGATCAACCTGTTCGGAGATTTATGACACACCTGTAGAACCCAGATCTCCTGGCCCAGAGATAGGGTCACTACCACTGTGCCACATTCATCATCCACCTCGTGGTGATTAGTTTATACCGTGTCAATTTGAAAGGTTATTTAGAGGTAAGGCCTTACCAACCTGTTCTGTTTGTTTTTGTTGCGATGGTGCCACACATTTATCTGAATGGACTACACCTTGAGAGCTCTCCTGATTTTTTAAAAATTCATTCATGGGATGAGGGCATCGCTGGCCAGGCAGCATTTATTGCCCGTCCCTAATTACCCAGAGGGCAATTAAGAGTCAACCACATTGCTGTGAGTCTGGAGCCACAAGTAGGCCAGACCATCTTAGGATGGCACATTTCCTCCCACCGAGGGCATTAGTGACCCAGATGGGTTTTTACAACAATCGACAATTGTTGCTAGACTTTTTATTCCAGATTTCTTTCTTTATTCATTCACGGGATGAGGGCGTCACTGGCTCGGCAGCATTCATTGCCCATCCCTAATTGCCCGGGGGTGGTTATGAGTCAACCACATCACTGTGGGTCTAGAGCCACATATAGGCCGGACCATGGTGGGATTCGAACCCATGCCACCATTCAGCCTGGGGTTCTGGATTATTAGTGCACTGACATTACCAATACACCACCACCCAATTAAAAGGCATTTTCAAATGCATGGAGTCTTAAGCAGCATTAGGAATTTAGAATGTTAGGGACGGGCAATAAATGCTGGTCCAGCCAGCAATGCCCTCATCCCATGAATGAATTTTTAAAAAATGATCAGGACAGCACTGGAACAGGCCCTTCAGCCCAGGATGTCTGTGCTGACCATGCTGCCATTCTAAACTAATCCCACCTGCCTGCACATGGTCTGTATCTGTCTATTCCCTGCCTGTCCCTCCATCTGGCTAAGTGCCAGTTAAATGTTTCTATCTTATCTGCTTCCGTCACCTCCCCTGGCGCCACGTTCCAGGCGCCTACCACCCTCTGTGTAAAGAAAACTTGCCTCGCACATCTCCTTTAAACTTTCCCCCTCTCAGCTTAAACCTATGCCCCCTATTTCCACCCCGTGAAAAAGACTCCATCCAAGCCTCTCGTAATTTTATCTCCTTCTGCCAGGTTGACCCTCAGCCTCTGAAGCTCTAGCGAAAACAATCCAAGTTTGTCCAACCTCTCCTTGTCGCTGAGACACTCCAATCCAGGCAACAAAGCCTCTTTTCCGTCCTCCCCAAAGCCTCCACAAGCCTCCTATAGGAAGGGAGAAGAATATCAGTTGCTCTTTCCTGTTTCGATTTAGGGAGATTTGGGGAGTAAGCTTTAAGCCTTAATGTACAAATTATATAAACTGATGATATGATGTGTTTGCGAACAACTGTTGTGTACTACTCACTAATCCTGCAGTGACTATGCCACAGTTGCTGATTACGTGGATAATTTCATCACGAATTGCAATTATACAGCACTCTGACTGCCAAAGGGAGAATCAAACAGACAAAAACATGGAGTGAAACTGTGTGTAATAAACAGGATATATACATATGTATAAAATACGGAAATTTGCCTGATAAATTTCAGTCAAGAAAGCAATTGTCCAACTAATCTCAGGGTTCCTGCTTTGCTCTCATTCTCTTTGCTGTCATCAAGGCTGTCTCCAGCAGAGGGAACCAGGTCCACAAGGTAACGGTGTTCATTTGACTGGGTCCTGACTGATAACGTGGATGATCATTGGGGAATGAAGCTAAAACTGAATAGAAAGCTGAACACGTGGATCTTCCGAAGGGTCTGGTTTCTCTGGTAAATTAATCAAATCCACTCCCCAGCAAGATTATCAATCCTGGGAAATTTTGCTGGATCTTATCAAAGAGAGCTAGGTCTGAGCTGAGCTCAGACACTCCATCTCTGCCAGTTCCTGCTCTCTTGGGAAATGTTTGGCCCCCTTTAGTTGTCATTCCCACAAAAGGTGCTTTCCACTAACTGGTGTGCGGGCATCCCATTTTAGGGTTTGGAATAATTCAGCTATTCTGGCCGCTTGGCATTTTGCTTCAATGACATCAACGGCAAATCGATTCTACAGTATGATTTGATCTGTGTCTTTGCTAACCTCTACCATAGAATTATAGAGTCCCTGCAGTGCAGAAAGAGACCAGTCGGCCTATCGAGTCTGTACTGACCCTCCGAAGAGCATCCCACCCAGACCCTAACCCAACCCTGTAACCCTCCATTTCCCATGGCTAACCCACCTAGCCTGCACATTCCCAGACTCTCCGGACACTTTAGCATGGCCAATCCACCCAACCTGCACATCTTTGGACTGTGGGAGGAAACCGGAGCACCCGGAGGAAACCCACGCAGACCACAGGAAGAATGTGCAAACAGACAGTTGCCCAAGGCTGGAATCGAACTGGCGTTGTGAGGCAACAGTGCTAACCACTGAGCCTCTGTGCCACCCATTGCTGTTTATTCAAAAGGTTTGGCATGCACGTTCGTGTGAGTGATAATGCAGGCATTTTTGCTGGCATGGGATTGTGGGCCAAATGGCCTGTTTCTCTGCGCCTGTGTAAGTTTGAATGCGAACTGTTTTGTGTAGTCCCAGGAGAAACGTAGTGCCTTTGCCCCTATTATTGAATTTCCAGTTTAAATATATCAAGCTTAATATCTGGACCAGACAGGTTGGCTCTGATTTGCCAAGGCATTACCCTGAGAAATAAGCCAGAGTGTAACTGTCACATGTTTTACTGAGGTCAGAAATCACACCACGCCAGGTGTCATGTGATTTCTGACCTTGTCCACCCCAGTCCAACACCGGCACCTCCACATCTTGTTTTATTGAGTTGAAACATTCGTAATGCATGCGCATTTTTCTTTGGTTTGCTCCTCGTATATTGATATATGAAACTTCCAGTACAGCCAAGTTCACCACACAGTAAACGCAACTGACAATGCTGATTCAGTTGTCAGTGTAACTCTTCACACACTGGACTATTTAGCAAATTCTATCCAATCACAGAATCTAATACCGGACACTTTGTTTGGAGTTTTGCAACTCCCTCCCTAATAATATTGTGAGTGGCCCTGCACTCCAAGTGTTCAAGAAGGCAGCTTATCTCCACCTCCTCCGGGGAAATTAGGGACAAACTATAAACGCTGGCCTCACCAGTGATGCCCACAACACATGGACAAGTAACAAAATTAGGGTGGAGCAGTGGCTCAGTGGTTAGCACTATAGCCTCACAGCATCAGGGACCTGGGTTCAATTCCAGCCTCATGCAACTGTCTGTGTGGAGTTTGCACATTCTCCCCGTGTCTGCGTGGGTCTCCTCCGGGCGCTCCGGTTTCCTCCCACAGTCCAAAGATGTGCAGGATTTGGTGGATTGGCCATGCTAAATTGCCGCATAGTGTCCAGGGATGCGCAGGTTGGGTGGGTTAGCCATGGCAAATGCAGGGTAAGTGGGTAGGATACTCTTCAGAGGGTCGGTATGGACTCAATGGGCCAAATGACCAGTTTTCATACTACAGGGATTCTATGATCTTTGAAAACGTTCTGTATGGCCAAGCAATGTTCACCTGACTGGTGTTCCATGCAGCGCCTCTTGACTACTAGACTAATGGCCTCACCATCTGTCCTCTTCAGTTTGACTACTTGCAGAGTGGAGTATTAGCCAAGCCAAACCTGCACAAATGGAGTTGGAGCATCTTGGTATTGGCGCGGTAGCTGGTTTGGTTAAGCTTTGCTAGCAATCCTTCACAGCTTAATTTCGACACACGCAAGGGATTATGATCAGGGTACCGTACCTCTAATGGAAGCAGTGGTAATATCGCCAGATTATTAATCCAGAAGCCCAGGCTAAAGTTCTGGGAGCATGTGTTCCAATCCCACTGTGGCAGAGGGTGGTAATTTTCAGTGAAAAGAAAACTGTGGAATGAAATAACAACTATGTAACTGATTGTATAAAAACAGATCTAGTTCATTTTTTTCTGGGAAGGAAATCTGGTCTAGCTTACGTGTGACTGCAGACTCTCAGCAAGGTAGTTTAACTGTTAAATCCCATTTGGGCATTAGGAATGGGCAATGAATGCTGCTCCAGCCAACGACACCCACACCTCATAAAAAAGGTCAAAGGGCATGCTCTGCTGGTTGCACCAATGTAACATGCTGCGTGTCAGTGACACCTCCTCCAGGGTTGCTATAGAGAGGAGTTTCACACCCAAAGGGCCCAATAGAAACACTATCCTAAGCCAAGATGTAGAAATGATATGGCATTAACCTCTGCGGATGTGAACGTCTTGCAAATTGTATCTGCATCAGTTCACAGGGTCTTCCATTCCCAACGTTTAAATCGGAACCATCTGTTTCAGCCTGAGAAAGCAAAATGAGGAATGTGGACTGTTTAGTTTGGGAGAATGCGCATCATTCTGATGTTGCTTCCTTACGAGACATTTCGTTATGCAGACAGAACAGGGGAATCATTTCTCAACCTTAACCATGTACGTTTTGAGAGAGTGAAATTCAGATAAACAATTTTTAATATTAAGGTATTTTCGCAGTGAGTTTAAAAGTTACTGTGAAGGTACCTCCTTCTGAACCTCTCCCCTCGCCTGAGGCATGGTAACCGCAACCCCCCCAGGTTAAACTAACCACCAGTCATCTCTCTCTCTCTCTCTCTCTAATGAGAGAGCAGCCCTGCGGTCTGATAGGGCTACTACAAGTTTACCAAGAGCAATGGCAGATATTTTAACATGTGGCAGACATAATGGACACAGCTTACACACGAGTTTTAAATGGGAAATGCAAAACATGCAAAGTATGAGAACATTTTTTTTCCAGGTAAGTTTACTTGTCTCAGGAATCATCACCAGCTTAGAAGCATGTTAACCGTATTATATGGGATGTAATATCTAATTGTGGCTTTAATGCACTGTCCACTTAGGTCAGATACCACTGAGACTTTTATTTGGTCACTTATTGGATGTGGGTGTCACCGGCTGGGCCAGCATTTCTTGCCCATCCCTAGTTGCCCTTGAGAAGGTGGTGGTGAGCTGCCTTCTGGAACTGCTGCAGTCCTCCTACTGTGGGTTGACCCATAAAACCATTAGGGAGGGAATTCCAGGATTTTGACCCAGCGACAGTGAAGGAAAGGCGATATATTTCCAAGTCAGGATGGTGAGTGGCTTGGAGGGGAACATGCAGGTGGAGGTGTTCCCACATATCTGCTGCCCTTGTCACTCTGGAAGTAGGTTTGGAAGGTGCTGTCTAAGGAGCCTTGGGAAGTTACTGCAGTGCATCTTGTAGATGGTACACACTGCTGCAATTGAGCGTCGGTGGATACTTGTGGTTGTGAGTTGGAGAGTAACCTCGATTGGTATCGGTATTTTTCAATCTGGGCTTTAACATCTGTTGGAGGGATTTTGTTTTTTCCATTTCCAATGTTTAAACCAGGTCCATCAATTTCAAAGCTGATAACAAAACGACTGGAGTCACTCCGACACTTCACAAGTGCAGCCTCGGAGTAGGGTAGGGACAGCATTGCCAATGGCTGTGAGGGTGACAATGGCAATGAATTTTTACCTGTGCTTGGTGGTTTTGCTGGGAATGCAGGTCTCCTCATGGTGCAGGGACCCAGTGATTGTGGACCCACCTCAGTCTGCCTCGTATCAGAATCAAAAGAGATTCCACTTCCTCCGTAAGCTGGTACGGACAATGCATTATGAATGTTAAAGCCATCAGCCAAGGATGGTTCACTCAATTGATTCCAGTATTGAAAGGTTTGTTTTATCAGGAGAGGTTGAGCAGGTCAGGCCTATACTCCCTGGAGTTTAGAAGGATGAGTCAAGATCTAATTGAGGTACATAAGCTGCTCCAAATCCAGTAGACGATGACAAGCTGATTCCTCTTGTGGGATAATCCAGAACAAGAGAGGTCATGGTTTCAGGATGAGGGGTAGCAGATTTAAGACAGAGATGAGGAGGAATTCTCTCACAGGTTTGTGAATCTGTGGAATTCATTTCCCTAGAGTGCGGTGGACACTGAATAAATTTAAAGAGGGTTTTTAATTGGTAATGGATTGAAGGGTTGCGGGGAGCAGGCAGAAAATCGGAGTTGAGACTGAGATGAGATCGGCCATGATCGTATTAAATGGTGGAACAGACCCGAGGGGCTGAATGGCCTGCTCCTGCTCCTAGTTCTTTTGTTTTCTCGGTGACTTCCTTGGCAAGTGGCAGTCATACAAACAGCCAGCTGTATTCACACTGCCTTGCAAAGCCAAAGGATGGTAATTAAGGGATCAAGTGTTATCCCCCGACTATATGACTGATGACTTTGGCCCACAAGCCCTACATGTGGATGTACACCAACAGTGCAATGGAGATTTTGGTGCCACAGGAAATGTGATGATGCAGACCACTAGCATGCCGAAGCAATGCTTCTGCCACATGGCAGAGATGTCATGACTCAGGGTGGTCTGCCACCTTTCATTCATCCCGTCCATCACAAAAGGTTAGCCCTTGCCACCGCTTATCTGATGAGCAATCGAGGAGCAGGAAGAGGGGGAGGACAAAATCTCAACAGTCTCTTTCTGCCCATCTTACCATGAAGAAAGCATCAGGTGCAGTTCTGGTCAATCTCCCCATCCACCAACACTCCCATTCTTTGTCTTCTCTACATCACTTGGTCATGATGCAAAATAAAATCCACCATGGAATAAACACCCTGAACCACATTTATAAATGAAATGAGATGTGTTGTGCATAGAGACCTTGCACATTCCAGTCTTATGTGTGCTGTTCTGGTGCCCCTATGCAATGCCACATCAGTGACTACAGCATCACTGGTGGAAGGCTGATGGTTCTCAAATGCCCCTAAAAAAGCTCTCGGTTTCGAAAGCTTGGCATCGCTTGCCATTTCAAAACAAGCAGCAAGCCATCTAGGCCTGTTGAGAATAGCAAGGGTACTGGGACAGGGTCAAGGGTTAGGAGGGCGAATGGGGACTGCCTGAGAAAGGCCGGGAGCCTCAAACTCCATACAGCCACTAAGGTGGCACCTCAGAAACCAGAGTGACCATTTGGAGGACAGATTGCTGGACTGCCGGGCACACTCGGCCAACCACTTTGCACACTGTGCCACCTCAGCCTTGGTGGTTGTGCTGGGTGGCACGATGGCTCAGTAGTTAGCACTGTTGCCTCACAGCGCCAGGGACACGGGTTCAATCCCACCCTCAGGCGACTGTCTGTGTGGAGTTTGCTCATTCTCCCTGTATCTGCGTGGGTTTCCTCCTGGTGCTCCGGTTTCATTCCACAGTTAGAAGATGTGCAGGTTAGTGTGGATTGGCCATGCTAAATTGCCCCATAGTGTCCGGGGATGTGCGGTCTGGGTGAGTTAGCTGTACGAAATACAGGGTTACGTGGATAGGGTAAAGGGTGGGCCTGGGTGGGATGCTCTTCCGAGGGTCAGTGTGGACTTGATGGGCCGAATGGCCTGTTTCCACACTGTAAGGATTCTATGATTCTACTCTGAGCTTCCACGTTGAGTGGCTGTTGTTGGTTCATACCACCATGGCAAATGTAACAAGACGGTGAATGGGTTGGCCATCACTTCTGTGTTGGAAAACATAGTCTCCCAGCTGTACATCAAGTTTTGTATTATGACATAAATTCCACATCAGACTGGCCTGTCCTTTTAAGATAGCTGCATGGCATTACTGCATGTCACAGTCCAATATTCCACCTGCACATCAGTCACCCTCATCTGTAACACAGTTAGTACAATAACATCAATAAGTACAGAACTCAGACTTTATGTAAGTTTGTGATATGGCAGCCTAGCAAATAAACTTCAAGATATCTGTCTCACAAGAACCCTCCTCTGCAGTAAAGTTACATGGGCTAACGCACAGAAAACCTCAAACCACATCACTAAGCCCTGTGCCAAGTTTGCGCTGGACTCCTCGCTGACAGTATCCGCAGGCTTTCCAAATGCAAGAGAAAGTGTAGTGCATCGATCTGTTTGGTTGATGTGTTGAAGAGCTAGCAGTGTACGAGCCTTTCGCTAAGTGCATGAGGCTGTGTTGGAGAATATAAATGTTTAATGGGTTAGAGTCCTGATTATTACCATATTGACTTCCATGACTACCTGCATCATCCACTTCCTCTTCAACCAGGTCTCCAGTGTAGTATCCTGCTCTCTCCCATGTTTTCATTCATTCCATTCCAACACTTATTCCAGTTCTGTGTAAGAGGCATCAGGTAGGTAGTTTTAAGTGGGGCTTGACAAATTACAAATTTTAGGGATAGTAGGAACTGCAGATGCTGGACAATCCGAGACAACAAGGTGCAGGGCTGGATGAACACAGCAGGCCAAGCAGCATCATAGGAGCAGAGAGGCTGATGTTTTGGGCCTAGACCCTTCATCAGAAAACCCTGTTTAGGAATCCACCACAGACTCCTACAGTGTGGAAGCAGGCCATTCAGCCCATTGAGTCCACACCGACCCTCCCACCCAGACTCACACGCCTACCCTGTAATCCTGCATTTCCCATGGCTAATCCACCTAGCCTGCACACTATGGGGCAAATTAGCATGGCCAATCCACCCAAACTGCACGTCTTTGGGCAGCGGGAGGGGACCCACACAGACACAGGGGAGAACATGCAAACTCCACAATTGCCCGAGTCCAGGTTCGAACCCGGGTCCTTGGTATCGTGAGGCAGCAGTGCTAACCACTGAGCCATCGTGGCCCTCCAGTCACTGAGGAGCACCGGGACAAGCAAAGGCATGTGGCACTGCATCACCCAATGATGCACCCATAGTGGAAGTGAAGAGGCAGCACATGGCTGCACTATGTTGAACAGTCTCCAGCTAATCACAGATTGTGATCCCTGTGAGTCTCGGGTGCAAATTTTGTAGCAAAAAATCATCAGACACCCTTGTCATATGTGATTGCGTCTTATTGCTCATCTGCAACGACTCATTGCTCTTTCCACAGATAGCACTTCATATTTCTTTCTTGTCTCCCCAGTTGGAAGATGCGCAGAGCAAAAGGCAAGAGAAGTTGGTGGACAAACACAAAGAGATGCAGCAGCAAATTCTGGATGAGAAACCTAAGGTACAATTCCATGACTGGAACTGGCTAACATATGGAATTAAATGATACATGATTAAGGGGCTGCCAGTAATATACCCAAGGAACTTCCAAGAATGAGGCAGAAATGTTGCAGTCAGAGGGCTTTTCTTTTTCAGTTTCTATACAGTTATTAAGCCGCTTCAGAGACTTTTAAGCGACTCTTGGATAGGCACATGGAGGATAGTAAAATGTAGGGTATGCAGGGTAGATGATCTTAGTAGGATAATAGGTCAGCACAGCATCGTGGGCCGAAGGGCTTGTACTGTGCTGTACTGTTCTATGTTCTATAAGTTGGTGGTTAGGTATATATAGGTTTAGCTATGATCCGTCAGTCAGAATGAGACTGCCTGTTATATTCCGTTTTGTTCCATTCCCTTACATTTCTGTGCTCAAATTTGGTCAGTATATCTACATCTTAATCCATGCTGAAGGGTATGAAGACTTGCACTCAATAAGGGAGAGCAAATGTTCATTAGATCGGTGCCGGGGATGGGCGTTGTCGACGTTTGGTGAGAGTTTGAGTAAATTAGGCCCGTATTGTCTGGATTCTGGAATAACGAGGGATGAACGAGAGGCGAAACACACAAGATCCTGAAGGGCCTGACAAGGTAGATGCTAAGATGTTGTTTCTGCTGGTCAAGGAATCTAAGATAGTGGGGAGGCAGTGGGGGATGGGAAGAGTCTCAGAATAAATGGTTGATCATTTCAGACTGAAATGAGGAGAAGCCTCTTCATAAATGTCGTGGAATTTATGGAATTTGGATGGTGCATTCTTGAACATATTTCAGGTCGACTTCGGCAGATTTTGGTCTCTCAAGGAGTATAGGAAGCTGGAAGGAAAATGTAATTGAAGCCCAAAGGCTGGCTGTGACTGTACTGAATGGTGAAACAGGATCAACAGACCAATTGGTCTCTGCCTGTTACTATTTCTTGATGTTTCTGAGTTAATCTCATCATTTTGTGTTGTAATTGTTGTGTGAGTTTTGACTGTGATTATTATGAGGAATTTACAGCACACGTGTGCTGAAACATGTGTGAGTTATAGATATGTTCATATAATTTTTAGGTTGCGGATTTCAAATTAGTGACATATGGGTGTTGGTTACTTTTGTGAAGCGTTTTTTTCTTAAAAAATGGCCAGAGTGTCCTTCTGGAACCATATCCTAATCCAGTATGCGTCGGAGAACAAGAGACTACACGTCCCCTGGACATTTGATAGAAAATTGTTGATAATGTGGGGGAGGTTACAGCATAAAGGGAGAAGGGTAAAAGTTGAAAGGCATTAACTCACTTTTGATTTAGAATAAAAAAGAATTGATCATTGCTTAGAAAAGTTGGAGACTCAAAGCTTTTGGGGCAGTTTTTTTTTGGAGGAGATCTGACTGGGGTCAAAAGCAAATATGTATTTTTTTTCTCTTAGAAAGGAGGATAAGACAGTTACCTGGAGCGAGAGTTTAACTCCCAGGCCAAGAGTATTTGGTCAGAAATTGGCAGATAATTAAAAGACTCAGAAAGTCTAGGTTTCCAATTTAGTGAGTATTCGTCTAAGAAGATTTTACAGTTTATAAGACAGAACTTGAGAGAAGTTGTTACGTCATACCCAAAGATTTGATACTGAAGGGTCATTTCTCTTTATTTGACTTGCTGTAATGTTGGGGAATAGATGAGACTTTATTCTGCTATGTGTTTAAGATCTTTCAAACCTGTATTCTGGATTCAGATTCTATTTTTTCTTCTTTTATGTGATAAGCATCTTATTTGTGATTAAAGAAAACTTTCTAGATGTATTTCATAGTGAGAGAGAGAATAGTCACCAAGGTAAAGTGTTCTATTGTGCTCTTTGATGAGTACCAACATTGAGGGAGAGGATAAAGCTCCTAATCAGCCTATTTAGAGATGTCATGACATGACATGACTCTGGAGTGGGTAGGGCTTGAACCCAGGCCTCTTGGCTTAGAGGTAGGGATATTGCCACTGCATCACAAGAACCCCCAAGAGAATGAAGCTAATTGTGTGAGGCAGAAACCAAGATGCACTGCTTTTCTTTATGGAAAGAGTTTATTCACTTCCCTAGTCTCACACCTCAGTATCACAGCCATTCCCTACTATATGTGCTCAAACATAGTTAATATCCACCACCACTTGTTTCATTTACAATTACATTAACAGGCCTTAACAATGCAATGGACCACACAGAAAGAGACTGAATTTATCCCACTTCGACGATGAGCAGCTGAAGAAGTCAATGTTTCATGTGTCTCATTTCGTCTGTTGTTAATCTGGCCAACGGTTGCTCATGGTCCATAAACTACTGATTCACCAAAATCATTGCAGTGCCATTTGCCTTGGACACCAACACAGTTAAAGTGACGGTGAATCACTTCCCATTGGTTTCAGAAGAATCAGTCGCTGACTTTACCATTGCCTGTTATGCACCACAGCCCATAAACAATTTCACGACAAATGTTAACTCACAACATTTATACAGCCTTACGGCTCAGAACGAGACCATTCTGCATCAGTTCTTTCCACTTCGTCCCACTTCCCCCTGATGTTTTCCCTTTTCAGTGAGTGAGGCATAAAATTAGGCAGCATGCCTGTCCATCCTTGCCCCCACCAGTGCAACTTTATTAGTCTTAGTAAAGTCATCTGGTAGCCATGGGCCAACTGAAAATCTTAAATTGCTAATTGATGGGACTTAAAGGCCTTATCCCACTGCCGCTGGGACTTCACCAAGAGCAGAACAGACCCATGCAAAGTGTCTAGCCTCGCAGCTTTCGCTGGGTGTGTATGTGAACGGTAAGGTTTGGGGCATGACCCCTCAGAAGCCACCCCCTTAAATTTCCTGTATTTCCTCTCCCTCGCCACCAAAGCCCTGCCCCATTTACCTATAAATCCAGCTCCATGGCATCCCATTCTTGGGGACTGGCACCAATCCCCTCAGTGGCCACCATCCCTGGTGGTGTTATTGGGACCAGAAAGCTGGCAGCTAGCAGGTCAGCCATTGTTTCCCAGAGGCAAGTCTTCCTCCCTGGGTGAGGACAGCTGTGAAATGGTTGCAGGCTAGGTCAGCAGAGTGCATCCTCACTATTTTCTCCTGGGCACTGCGAAATCCAAACCATGTCCCAAGGTCCTCCTTCTGCACAGATGATATTCATATTTTCTGCTCACTTTACCAAGTCTGCTTACCTTTATCATTTTGCAGGTTAATAGACTGCAAAGGCACTCATTGAACTGACTGAAATGCAGAGAATTAATCCTACCTCTCGAGTGTTCATGGCGATGGATACAATTACACAAAGCTAACAACTGGCTATAGTCATGCCTTGTGTGATTGCACTATAGATGTTTGAACATGAGCAAGTCCCACTGTACTTCTGGAGGTGCTGTATATGCACCTGTGTTGCCCAGATACCATCCTAGCCTATAAAATACACTAACTTTGATGTGAGATAAACCATTTCTGAAATAAAATGGCAATTTTCATTGTATTAATTGCAGCTATTGAATATTATTCAAACAAGCTGTGCACCATGTCAGTAGCATCCTTCATCAAGCTTCTAATTGTGATGAGTTACAAATTCCAATTGCTACCTCAAAGTCCAGTCATTAAAGATGCAGAAGATGACACTTTCCCTCTCCTGTTTCCAGAGTGAGATGTTTTTGTTGCGTGAGGGATAAAAAATTGTCGAGTGTTCTTCAGAACATCAGAAGTTGAAGCACATTGTTGTTCTGCACAGATTTGGAGCTAGACAATGTTTAACCCATTCCATTGCCTCACACATTCTATATCACAATCGCAATCCTAATCACATCGCTATCAGAAGAATGCAGGGGTCTTTAAAACATGAATGGAAATATTACAAGATAATTCCTAATTGAAAATAACACACCCATGAAAACATTTTATTCATCACCATGAAATTACAATGCATGCAAATTAAATATTATTAAATTAAGGGAGTTGATCTAATGTCTTTACCACTGACATTAATTGAGTTTTCACTGAATGGTGAAATATAAATGTATTATTGTAAGGTTAAGCAACACAATGCTAGTGTCATCAAATAACTTAAATGATAGGGTAATTCACAATAGGGCCTCAAAATTCCTTGGGTCATAACGCTGGCTGGTAGACAGTCAGTATAGCCAACTTTATTCACAAACGTCAATATGCGCAAAATGAGAAGATCTCTCTTTGGGCCCCACAACTTTTTTCATCACTTGTCTTCTAAGGGAAAAATGGAGAATCACATCCTGGAATTCCCTCCTTAATAGCATTGTGGGTCAACCCACAGCAGGAGGAATGCAGCGGTTCAAGAAGGCAGCTCACCACCACCTTCTCAAGGGCAACGAGGTGTGGGCAAGAAATGCTGGCTAGCCAGCAACGCCCACATCCCACAAAAAATGAATAGAAAAAAAAAACATAAGATGATCAAAGATGTAACCAGATCTCTTATTTTCCTGGGGGCTGTGTTGGAAGATGGCCACTGTCGTTTTTTCAGATGCCAGCATGTCCTAGTTTCTCCTAGTTACCAACTACTGGCTACCAGTAGTTGGT